TATATTACATAACACCCAGAGCAGGCCCTGCGGCAAGATTCCATAATTAAACCCATCAACGCCCTGCAGCACAGCATATGAGCATTCACATGAGGTGGTCAAGTTTTGCAGCCAAATGAGTCACCGCAAATCTTGAGTTTTCAGAACTGGCTTGGATTTCACAATCGTGCAAAAGGGGTTGGTGAGCTGCATGAAGAAAACAGCTCTCCCCTTCCAGAAGGGACAGGGTTGGGAGCATTATCTCCCAGATGCTCTATCTGGGACTGGGCTGGGTGTCTGCAGGAGGAACAGAGGCTTCTGCATCTCCTTGGACAGCCAGCCACGTGGCAGCCCAGGTCACAGCCACAGGGCCTTCTCTACCAGGTTTCCTGAATGACTGGCCCCAGACACAGCTGCGTCATGTTACACAATGTGGTTTACCATTGGAACCACACAGCATCGGAAGACGCCCACCTCAGCAACACTCACCCCTGAGAAGGATCACAGCAGGGACAGAAGCTGGTGTTTGGTGATGGTTTCAAACACAACCTGAAAACGCAGTTGGCTTCCAGAGGAAGTGGGCAGAGGCGCACGGCGACTCACTGCCATAGATTAATCACCAGCCTCGTTTGGTACTTCCCCTCAGCTGTTCTGCAAAAGTTGCATAACCCACAGCTCTACCCCTGCGCACAGGCTCCGGGGAGGGTTCACCTGTGGTGAGGTGTGCTGTAATTCCTCTCCTTCCCGTGGCAGGAGAGTTGAGATTTATCTGGAAGCCACCTTGAAGAAAGGAGAAGAGCTAGCATTTATTGAATGTTTGCTGTTTACCAGCTGCCCTGCTAGGCATATTCTGTAGATATCTTCTTAGAGCTTCAACAATCCCAGGAGGTATTTAAGTAATTACTGTATATAATTATTTCCAGTGCACAAATGAGGAAACTGAGGCCTAAAGAGGCTACACAACTTTCCCAGGGGTACATTGCTCACAGTGGAAAGCTGCTGCCTTATCCAGATTGCCAGGCCCCAGGAAGAGTTTTTTCCAGGAGATTCCAGACCAAAGCTGGCCAAAGCCAAGACCAGACACTGCGAGCCTGAACATCGGTCATCCATCCGTCCATCTATCCCTCCTTCTCTGCATCAGTTCATCCCCTGCGAAGCCGGAAGACGCGGTGAAGACCCAACCCCATGATTCCACTCCTCACTTTGTCACATTTCCCATTGGTTTCAGACCAAGACCTCCCTGTCACATTTCCCATCGTTCCCAGACCAAGACCTCCCTGCCTCTGCAAAGGGGGGCCTTGGCAAGAATGCAAAGAGGATCCAAGGGGTTTCACTCTTTATTTGTATTAATTTTAAAAGATGGCTTTATTAAGATACAATTTGTGCTGTATGCCACACAATTCACCCCTTTACAGCGTTTAATTCACTGGGTTTTAGTATTTTTGCAGAGTTGTGTGAACATCACTGTAAACTAATCTCAGAACATTTTTTTACCCCCAAAGAAATCACATACACAGCAGCAGCCATTCCCTGTTCTCTCTCCTACCCCATCTTAATTCACTAATACATTTTGGTCTTATAAATTTGCCCTTTCTGGATATTTCATATCAATGAAATAATATGTGTTCCTTTATGACTGGCTTCTTTGACTTAGCATAATGTTTCCAAGGTTCAT